GTAAGTCTGTGGAGCGTCGGCTCACATCGATGTTCAGCGGCCCTTGTTTCTGCGTAGGGTCGAGCGTCACGACGCAAGCAGAAAGTGTAACAGCCGCCTGCCAGTCACACTCGCGAGGGCGAGCCATGCGTCTAGCGAGCTCCCTTGTAGCATGCCGAACATCCCGTCGATCTGCTGACAAATACATCGCACTGCCCACGGCTGAGCGATATTTGGCAGTTCGCTCGCCATCCAGTTCCGCTTTCTGAGTGAGGTCTAGTCGTCTGAAAGGCACTTGCGACTTGTCCCCGGGTTGCAACCCAAGGGCTGCAATGACATTGTGGGCATGTTTTTTGTTTTTTTTTCCCATCTGGGACTATGGCGTCCTCAAGACGAATCTTGGTACGGCCCAGCACCTCAACTGCGATGCCTTGGCTCTCGCCTCAATTTCACAGTGCTTCGGGATTGCCTCATCAACCAAGTAGTTGATTTGGTTGTCTGGGCCTACGCACCGAATGTCATCGTGGTGAAGCAAGGTGACATGCGTGCGGTTGTAGTGATACACGCATTGAACTCGAAGTGGGGTCGGAGCTTGCCGAGCACTTCTTTAAGTTCATCCCTGTAAACACTGCTGGCTGTCCAACGGCCATAAAGGTTTCCGTCAAGCCGAAACCAAATGTCACGAAAGCGCGTCTTGTACAGCTCCCGCTCTGCCTTTGAAAGTTGGTCGGACCACTCAACGAAGATGTCCCACCACTCTGGCGGCGCTCCAATGTCACCGGCTTTCCTTGCTGAGCCCCACGCGTCCCGAACAGGAATGCGGCAATTATGTTTAAAGTTCGCATGCTGTAACCCTTGCGACCTCAAGCAGGAATGCGCGTCGGGCGTGGGCGTGGGAACAAACACGTTCATGTTTTGTTCCTGCTCAGGACTGTATCTGGCTTTGACATCCGCGCAGGTGAACCTGCGCTTGCAGATGCATTTGTCTACCCATTTGCCGTTGAACAATGTCAGTGACGTTGCTCATTCTCTGCAACGCAAAGGGGTTCTCAGCCTCAGTCGCCTTGCCCCATTTGGAAACAAGATCCCAAACTTCCATTTCAGTGAGGCGGCCAAAACGGTTGACCTAAGTTGGACTGGCCAGCAGCGACACGCCCCTCAGTAAGGACTCGGCAAACGAAAGCTGGGCTGCAAAGGAGGGCAGGGCAGACCACCGAGCGACCAGAGCTGCAACAACGGCCGGGCGTAGGACGGCGCAGCCTCCCGGGAGCGGGACCGAGCAAGGAGGCGGATGAAGCTTGCAGCCTCCTCACTCCAGCGGCCAGCGACCTCGAGCGCGAGGACGACCAGCCGGCAACGGTTCCGCAGCAGTTCGGGATAGACACGCCTTCCGCAACCGCGCCTCAACAAGAGCGGCGCCCCGCACGGCGGCGGGGTTGGCCGGTAGAGTCCAGGGGCGAGACCAAAGTGGTGTCGACAGCCAGCTGGGCACCGCCATGCAAGGACAATTCATTCGCAATGACCTCAAGGCGCCGGTCATCGACGTGGTCAACCACCAGGTTGGGATAGGCCAAGTGGGAACACGCTGCACGGTGGTCGCCAAAGGAGTCCAAGAACGGCGATGGCACCGGCAAGTGTTTTCGGTGATGGGGAGTGGGAGCCGGAGGCGCCGAAGAAGGACGCTCCGGCAAAGCGCCCGCCAACACATCCTGCCAAGTAGGGGGCTCCCAGCTAGGGTCCGCCAGCACAAGGGCCGCCGCGGCTACAGCTCGCAGGGAGGGGGCATGGGCCTCAGGCAGGCTCGGCAGGGCCGCATGAAGAAGCGAAGCCGTTTGACACACCGCTGCCCGCGGCCATCCGGCACGCCCTGCGTGGTGATCGCTTTCTGGCAGCTTTCGCAACTTTTGACCCTTTGGATGTGGAAGGCTACTTTCCAGCCCGCGTGGCTTTCTATTCCTGAATGCTTGGCCGCCTTCGCGTGCCTTTCCACTTCGTGCTGGACGCGCGTGGTCGGTGCGCTGAATAGCGCGCCGCATGGCGCAGCACCCACCGTCGAGCCTCGTGACAGCCTTGCCCTGGCACGCCAGCGCCAGGAACATGCGTGCCCAGAACTAGGGTCTCGGTACTTGTCGCCTTTTGGACTAGGTTGCATGTCAGCCGTTGCCACCTCGCTTCACCAGATAGCTGGCCCACAGTGGCGAAAGTGCAAAAACAACGCACGAAATTGCAGGAATTCGAACTTTTGTCAAGCTGGGACCCTGAACTTGGTGGGGTGGGGAGGACGGTGCCAAAGCGCCGGCATGGTCGCCCCCTTCGGGGAAACACGGCGCGCGAGACAGGATCAGCAAATAGACCTGCCTGATCAGCGGCGTCGAACACAAACGCACGGGTGTAGTCGCCAAAGTCTGCACCTTGGGTGCGCAGATCAAGGCGCGAGAGGCTGGAAGCCTGGGCCGCAGCACGCACGCTAGGCGCACGCTGTCCGCCCGCAGCGAGCAGAACTGCCAAGTCGCCGGCGACGACCGGGTGCCGGTCTTGGATCATGGCCAAGGTGTCAGCCCAAGATGCCTAATAGGCAGGAGACCGCAAGCCCACCGCACCCCAGCTAGCGGGAGCGGGGCCTGTCTACGCTGCAGGCCCTGAAGCCCAAGAAGGTTTTAAGAGCTCAGGAGCTGCCCCAGGCAGCACGTGCTCACGGGCGAAGGCAGCAGCAGTATCAACTCAATCACGCCGACTGTAAGTGCGGCATGTTAGGGATACGCTGCAGCAGCGCGTCTTGGGCCGTTCGCATTTCGGCTGGGAACGCCTGTGCGAACACATGGCTGCCGAGGACCACCAACCCTTCTTTGTTGGGTGGCAGGGACCACCCACCGACCCAGCTGGGGTTTTCCGTGGCCCCCATGGCGCCTGCACGCCATCGGCGTTCCAAGCACGAGACTTCCCCAAGTCAACCTGGATTCCGGCATGTGCTTGCAGATTCGCCTGCCGGATGTCGAAGAATGCACGTGCCCGACCGGGCCGCGAGAGGATGTAGACGTCATCCAAAAACGCGAACAGGACCTTGCCTCGCAAAAGCACTGCCTGCGTGGCCTGCAAAGCTGGGTGCTGCGCAAGCGCAAGCAGGCCAGCCATCAGGGAGTCCCCCTGTTCCCCTCCTTCGCCTTGTTCGACGTATTGCGAGACGCGGCCAAAAATCTGCCGCACATACGGCAGCAGCGGAGCGCCTTGAGGGAAATGTGGGCATGAAGAGGTGGACGATGATTATATGCTGCATTTGCAAAGAATGCCTTGCGATGTCACATCTGGAAGGGGGAGAAGAAAAAAAGGAGGCAAAAAAGTTGGAACCAAACGATTTTGCATTGTGTGAACCGAAATCCAGATGAGCAAATTGCCGTTGCCGCCCAACAATTGGAGCAGGAAATTCTCGGATGAACGTAGCCTTGCAAAGTTGAAGAGTGTGAATGTGTTTGAAAGAGGCTCGCTTGATTTTAGTGTCGCTTTTGATTTCTTCATTGGGAAGATGTCGGGAGTCACCCCTGGCGATTATTATGACACTGTCGTCAACGCACTCGCAGCGAGAAGCGCAAACACCCTACGGTTGAGGCGGGACGGGGGCGGCGCGAGGCGAGGGGCGGTCACGGCCAGCCGGTAATGCGAGTACGACAAGCATGAACCTAAAAGAGAGTCCCTGTTTCATTTTTTTTGGAGGGTGCCTCTTCCTGGGACAGTAAACAAATACACGGCATGAGGACAAAGAAAATCCTCTTACACAAGCAGGCCAGCGCTGCCAATGCACAACACGAGGCGCATGCTTCGCAAGGAGCTCTGAGACGCAACTTATTTCCGCGGCATGGCGTGACATCTTGGCATCTCGCGCACAAACGGCCGATCACCAGAAAGACTTTACACGGAAACAAATTGGAAATTGCAACGAAAACGCAAAGTCATGCAGGGCCAACAGTGATTGAAACTGCAAAGGGCAAGGCATTTGTTCAGGTTGCAGCTACTCGAATTCCCACATTCCATGCATGGCGCGAGTGGCCAAGTGGCAGGCTGACGTAGGTGCTTGAGCTGGATCCAGTGCAAAACAACCAGGGTTTGACTATGAAAGTGATCGCCAGAGCGTTCAGCCACTCCAGATTGACATCCAACATCTGGCTGATCGGCTGGAAAATGTGAGAGGCAAGCGGCAAGCGGCGAGTGTTAAGCGGCAACAACCCAGGCATTTGGTACTTCCGGAAGACGGGATCCCATAGTTGTCTGTTGATCTTCTTTGAACACCAGGTTCAGACAGCAGGCCAATGCGGACACACGGCTTGCAGCACAGCGCCCAGCGACAGTGAAATTCCAGGCTTACCGAGCATTGGAGTTGAGCTCCTTTTGCAACACGCGCCATCTGGTTTGCCTCCATTCGAACAGGGTTCTCACCATAGATGTCCTTGTGGCGCTAAAACAATCAGGTCAACCAGGGCCGTCTATTTGACCGAAACAACCAAAAAGAACACCCATGGTTCTGACACGTTTCTCAAGTCGCGTTTGCAAAATCTCTGGCCAAAGGGCGCACAGCTGCAGACCTCACGCGTGCGTCGCAACGTTGCACAACAGCAGCTCCGAAATGGACGCATTGACACGCTCGCGACGTGTCATTGCGAAGAGTATTGCTGGATTGGGTGGCTCACAAGGGTGGTAACGCGCTGATCATTTCCTGCAAACAAGAGGTCTCGGGCAAACATCTCACGATGGATGCCGCTACTGTCCGGTCGCCGTGCGCAAACCGCAGCTTGGAATCTCCCTTCGCGACCAAGTTGTCCGGATTCTTGCGCCGCTCATCGCTCCTTTTGGATCTCTAGGCTCTAGTCCTACTCAAATCTATTGACTGGACTTTTGCCAGCAGCATTCCAGAAGGCCTGCTGGTGAAAGCTCCTAAATATGGTGGCGGCAACTCCGAGAATCCATGCTCACTTCCGCAAACCCACTTTTCACACCTACCAAAAACACATACAAATTCTCCAACACCCTTCTTGCCCCAACCGGGCTCTCGCCGCTTGCCACCTAAGGCCATCTGGGCCTCTCCCCGCGTCTCAGAGTCTCAGGCGGCGCACCCCGCCGGGGCCGCGCCGGCAGTGCAGACCTCCTGCGCCGGCGCCGCGGGGGGCGCGATGTCCAAACTCCTCGGGCTTTCGGACCGAGAAGCGGCGCATCGAGGCGACGTTTTCCGGGACCCGTACATCTAGAAAACGCGTTGGAGGTGCCTTTTGCGGATCCAGCACTAAAAGACTACTAAAAAAGAACCAACAGGGGAAGAGGAGCAAAAATCCAAGTTTTCTACTTTCGGAGCATCGAGACAGCTTTTTGGGGGCGGAAAAAAGAGGGGGGGGACGTGGCGGACACTGGGAAGGTCTGTTTTATCAAACCTTCTTCGGGAGAATTCTTGGCTGCAGAATAGACCTGTGGCCTTGATGCGCAGCCATGATCCGTCCACATTCATGATCTTAGCAGAGAACTTGGTCCATTCAAGCGAAATCCTCAAAATGACTCAAGGTGAAACCAATTTCAATGGACCTTGCAAAGGGTCCCGGTTGGTGGTTTGTGGAAACCCGCCAAACGAGGGATTCAAAGGGTGCCATGCTTACCATTAAATTCAGTCTTTGAGTGGTAGGTTCGAGACTCAAACACCTGGGAGGCTTCAGCGGTTTTAGTGTTTTGCCCAGAAATGAAAGCCTAGGCTGGACACCCCCAAACTTCTGCTTGCCCATGCAAAAACCAAAACAAAGTTTGGGTGCCGTTCACCCCTCTGCAACATGTGTTTAACTTTTTGTGGGTCCAATATGGAAAGTCCGACCCGGTTCAACCAAAACGTGTTTCAGCCCAAAGATCCGTTACCAAATTGCAATGAAGGCAACAGGGGTCCTGATTTTGATGGTTTCCGGGGTTTAAAGTCGGACACTGGAAACTGGAACCGTTGGGGTTTGCCTTGAGGATCCGTTCCCAAATACGTTTGTATTTTCAGGGTTCCCCTTTTTGGGGTGGGCGTTAAAGGGAAACCAAAGGAACGCCCCGGTTTTCGACGGGGGCCCCCCCCCCCCCCCCCCCCCCCCCCACAAAAAAACAAAAAGAGCACCCTCCCCCAACAAAAAAAGAGGGAAACAAATGGAGGAAAAAAAGAACAAGACCCAAAAAGGCCATCTCCCCACGGATTTTCGCATCAAAAGGATCAGATCGGCGGATCGCTTCATCCGAGGGGCGAGGCGTCGTGCACCTGGTCCACGCACTGCTGCAGCGCCGTGGCTTGGCTGGAGGTGAGGATCACGTCCAGCAAGCACTCGATGCGCTTCAGGGCCTTCCACTGCGCCTGGAACGCGGGCAGCCAAGCAACCTACAAAGAAATCAACCAAACCAGACAACCAAACGAACGAACGAACAAACGAACCAACCAGCCAGCCAGCCAGCCAGCCAGCCAACCTACACACCTGGCGCTTCGCGTTCAACTGAGCAGTTGAATAAATAATGTGATATCACAAAATATAATTATACTTGAGGAAGATGTATGTTAATAAATGGTATTAGATAGATAGAAGGTCGCGTTGACAGCCGCAGGCTAGCAGGGCTGGAAGTAGGGCCCCTTCTCGACAAGAATGGTCCAGGCCAACCCCACCCCTCCCCCATGCAGGCCGCTCTTCTTACCGAATGAACCAAAAAACCGTTGGAGACCAACGAAAAGGGTTTGGACCAAGATTCCCTTTTTGGTAGTTTGAAGTAAATCCAAAGTAAACCGATCACTTGTGGAGATCCCCAATTTTGGAACACACCCGTCAGTGGTTGAAGATGGCAATGGCTCCTCTTGCTAGGTATCCTGAGTCAAGTTGAGCGACCGCCAGCAAACACACAGCAGAGTTCACAGGCATGTTGGTGTGTCTTTGGTTAGGCCGCCACTTCTCAGCATTGGGTATCCCCATTCTGCTCCATCTTGTGTTCATCCCCTAACTCCTGATCCTTCTTGGGGGCCCACGAACCACAAGCCGAACAAAACAGGCTTGGGAGGCGTCTGAACAGCGGACATCCGGCCAAAAACAGGGCCCCCTTCTTTCTTGCAAGCTGGTCCGCCGTCTGCTTTTTGGCGCCGCCCGTTTTTGGGGGGTCGGTTAGAGCAACTCTTTCAGACCGAAGGAGCCTTGAGGCTGTCTGCCAGCTGGTCCGCCGTAGACACCGCGGAGGAGGACTCCGACCCGGCCTGAGCCAACAGATGCCGCCGAATTTCGGCGGCTTTCGCCGAAGGGCTGGACGTATTGGACGTGTCGTTTCTTTTTAAGGATCCATTTGTTGAGGGTGGTTGTTTTTGTCCGGGTTTTCCTTTTTCAGGTTAAGGCCAAACCAAATGGAAAACCCTTACTTTGTTGGGTCCCCTATTTGGGAGGCTGGACGTCTCGCGGGGGAAATCGGAATTTTGAAGGGCCCAGAAATAGAAGGTGAACCCTTTGGGACTAAAAACAAGACATGAGAACCAAAAACCTCGTTGGTGTTCATCTTTGTTCCTTAGTCTTCCTTGGACCAAAAATGAAGAACAAACGCGAAACGTACAGCCTCTTGGCTGTGATGCGGACTGGGATTCCCATCCTCATGACATCTGTGTCACTTTGAAGGGGATTCCCCCAAGAGTATCACAAAAATGTGACTTCTTGAACTCAATGTCATCGGCTCCTCCAAACAGGGGGTGGCAAATATGGCCCAACGCTGCATGTCTGAACCTGATCAACTCATCCATGAAGTAAGTGTGCAAGTAGCCCCGTGCCCCGACAACACGTGAGCCCGTTCAGCTTTCAGACTGGCCTCATAGTCACTTGCAAAGAATGCATCCGCATGCCCCAAACTGCGAAACAACGCAGTTAGCATCGCGCCAGAGCAGAGTCCTCTCTATTTGAGTGTGTCTAAACATACGGCACCCAAGAGGATTGTATGTCCTGCTTCCCTGCAAAACGAACCGAAAAAGAGAAAGGCTCGGCCGAGGGGAAGACAAGTGCGGGAAATCGCTTCAAGCGACATGTTCAGAAGAATCAGTAGAATTGGCACATGTGTTGGCGGTTTGTATTCTTTAGGGGACCCCTTTTTTGGTGGCTTTGAAGGGAAACCAAGAAGAGGAAATCCACCTTTTTAGGGTCCCCAGAAATGACGCGTGCATTTGGAGATTTCAAGCGTGCAATGGATTTTCACCAATTTGGGGGTCCGTGCAATAACCAACTGTTACCCACCCTCCCTCCAACTATCAAAGCTGAAGATGGGATTGATTTGGAAGACGAAAGCTTTCCTTTTGGGGAAGCCGTAACCCACTTCCTCCATTTTTTGAATTCTGTCACGCTTTCCGCTAGCCCCAAACCACTACGTACGCCATGACCCCCAGCCTGGGACCAGCAATTGCTGTAGCTGACGCAGGCCTGACCGGATCCAAAAGTCCAACGGACGAGAAAAGCAAGCGACCGAAGCAGATGCGGTTGGTTGCGACATCCGAACTCCAGCCCCCAACTATCTTGAGGCAAAGGATCCTCGCTTCAGAGGAAAAAAAAGAAAAAAGCACTCATATTCAGAAAATGGTCTCCCACTGAGTACGGTCGCTACAACCCGAAGTTGACCTCCATGTTGACAGTGGAAACTCGTCCACCTTGCGGATCAGGGTGCAACTTACGAGGACGCTCACCAATCAAACTCAGGGAGCTTCGGAATCAACCTGAAACCGAATCATTCGGAGCATAGAACCCCCCCTTCAAACAACCCAGTTGATGCCTGCAAACCCAATACAAAGAGCCCCGGATTTTGATTCCAAACGGGTTCGAATAGACAGGGCGATCGCCGAATCCGATTTTGGAACCCATCTGCTCTAAGGACTCTCCTACACGCTGGGAATTACACCCAAGGAAAATGACGCAGCATGATCTCAAATAGAAACAGAGTAACCAGGTTTTATCTGGACATGGGCTAGAATTGGGTGAGTCCGAGGGCGTCATCCCACCACGGAACTTCACGTTTCGGGGTGCAGACGCCGCCCGACTCGCTGGCGCGCGCGGGCGGCGCTCGCCTGCTTGGTGGCCTGGTAGGAGCTGCAGTCCACCGGCTTGTCGCTGGGGGTCAGCGCCGCACAGGCCACCTGAAGCGTCGCTTTGGCGCGGGGGCCTTTAGGGGGAGAAAGGCGTCGCGGGTTGCGTTTCATGGGTGTCCTGTAAGGACAACAAACAAAGGTGTGGGTTGTTTTTGACTCCTGATGTCCCCCTCCTGTTGGTGTTTTTGTTGATACTCTTTTAGCACTCCTGAACTGTTTACAGGAGTAGATGCGAGCTTCAAACCATGAATAGAAGGCCAGGGCTCACCCAAATGTTCCCCAATAGGGATGGGCACTAATCGAATGGGTTTCCAACTAAACTGCGCGAATTCATAGCTAATCTGGACTGGAGGATCAAATCAATTCTCCTAAATGGATCAGGTTCCTGCCGAACAGGAGTCCCACGGAGTCCCACTTCCGGTTTGTCTTAGGTTTTTTTTCTTGCTTTTTAAATCCCAAATCAATGTTGTTAGTGATGAATCTACAAGGAACCCCTGTGGTCAGCTTGTTGGATCATGTGCCAAGGGTGCAAACCCCAGGACGGAATACGCAAGTGATCAGACCTCGGCAGGTTCTGGAATATGTCCAACACCTCTTCCAGGGAACATCGTCGCAAAATTCCCCCCCCCCCCCTCCGGATCGGTCGAACCCCACCATAAATGGATCAGAAGAGAACACACCCACTTGAGCATTTTTGTAAGCAAACCAACCAAAAGAAAACAGCTCTGCCCCTCGGCTCGTTTTCGGAAGCCCAAAACGCACCCGGTGCAGACGCCTCCTTGGCGTCGAGCAGGCCCTTCTTGCCGCCGCACTCCGTCTGCTTCACCCCGTGAGCGCTGGTGGCGTTGCTGCAGTTGCTCCGGCGCAGCCTGCGCACATCGAGGCTCGAAGGTATACATACATAGGTATATACATATATATATATATATATAATACATATATGTATATATATATATATACGTATATATATATATGTATATATATATATGTATAGAAATGTATATATATATATGGGGATGTTTGGACTGACTGGAAGCCGCAAACGGAAAGCCTGAAAACAGAAGGACCGGATATCTTGCAGATGCTTCACTGCCATATGCCAGCGACTCTTATGCCAAACACATCATTGGAAACCCTGTGGTGGACATCGTTTGGATTCCCCATAAAAGTCGTGTAGAGCTGCTGACATCTTGCAGGCGATTTGTAGTTTCCTCGTGAAAAGTGTGCGAACCAAACCAAACAGGGAGTCCTCTGTACGGACCAAGATGTCCAGCCTACATGCATGACCAAAACGAGCTTGCCATATTGTTCAGGGGCGAAACTTACTAAATACTTTAGGGTTTGCTTTATGACACTACACCTTCTGGGGAATTGCCATTCCGTGCGGTTTCCAGAAAAAGCCGAAGGCTATGCTGGACCAACTTGGGCAATTTCCCGACAGGGCTTGATTTTCACAGAAAACAACCACAATCAAGTCGCACAAGGGATTCATCAAGTCCCACGAAAACAAATCACACAAAAGAGCCCAGTTTCCACTGCCACCCATCGCCGCGGAGACAAAAAACCGGGGTGGAGCCGGCATTGCCTGAAGTCCGCCAGCATGTCGATGTTCCGCTGCAGGTAAGACTCGTAGCTTGCCGTGGCGGGGTAGTCACTGGGCGGTGCAAAGCGCGCATGGAGGGGGTGGAGGTTTTAGGGAACTTCTAAGAGGAGAGGTCCAAGGGGGCAGAGCTCCCTAGCGCTCTAAGGAACCCTACAAAATGCAAAGGAACTCTAGGGATCTTAACCCACTTCTTGTACTGGTTGATGACCATGTCCGACCAGGGAACAAGTTGACAACTGTATGATTTAATCGGCAATGTGCAAGGGTTTCGTCTTAGATGTGGTTTCGTCTTAGATGTGGCTTGCTCACTTACGATACTTAGGGAATCCACTTGTGGCAGGGCTATACACCGCCAAGTGTTGACCTCTGGCAAAATAACCCGATTCTGACAAAGGACGTATGGGTTGCCAACGGATCTTCACTGGTGAGCTCGTTTTACCCCCGAGTCGGCGAGCTTTTGCTGCAGTGTGTCCACTTAGTCGTAGGAAACCTTGAAACAGGTCGGGCCGTTTGGGTGACATTCCATGGCTTCAAAATGGCCAATGCTAGGGCATCGGAGGTGTCTGAGATTTTCACCTACAGCCCCCACATCCCCTACAGCCCAGGGTTTTGGGCGCCCAAGCGCCCAATGCGTTGACCAAAATTCCTCCCAATGCCACCTGTGAGTCTTCCCCATCCCAACGAGAGGAGTTTCCCCGGGAAACCCGTGGGCTTGCAAGATGACGTCCACCAAGGCTCCAAGGAAATCAATGGACATTTGGGGAGTCAAAAAAATCCATGTCACTTCTGACCAAACCTCCGTCACCAGCCTCTTGCTGATTCAATCAGGAATGAGACACGGAAGGACCTGGAAAAACCATTCATCCGCTTCCTTTCTTCGGGAAGCCCCAAAGCGGCTCATTCCCAAAAGCAGGGCCGTTCCCTACCTACCTATCGCACCAGCAAGCTGTTCAGTTCCTCGCTTGGGCTTGGGTCAAAAAAATAAGTGCCCGGAATAGACTGGTAAATGGACACGTGAACTAAACCCTGCGGGTTGTCTTTGGTGGTTTCATTTCAACCCGTACATACAGAACCACACCAAAAACCGATGTTTTGACCACCCACTGGCTCGAAAATCGGATCGGATGGATCCATCGCCCGATTTTCTGGCTTGGACGAGACGAGGCACTCTTCGTGGCAGAACCAGGACTGGAAGTTCTCTGTCCTCGGCCATTCAGAGAGCCGCATCGGTTCCATGCCGATAGAGGTGCTCGAGAGCCACCGGAACTTCTCCGGCACAAAGAAAAGAGACCCTTGTTGGGCCGACCCCAAAAGAACACCGGCGCCGGCGGCCAAAAAACGGTCGGCCAAAAAAAAAAACTCGCGAAACAGGTTGGTAGTCAATGGTCTTCAACGTGCTGTCAAAACTCACTCGGGCCATGGTCATGGCTATGCCTTGCTTGGAATGCTTGTCATGCTCGCATGCTCACTCGCATAATGCCTTTTCTCAATGGTTGAGAACGCCTCCTCCCGAAGCCCGGGGATCTTCGAGCTCGCAAACTGTTGGATCGCCACTTGTTGGTATATGTTTCTCATATTCATCAAGCAAGGACACCCTCATATGGACTGCACAAACTTATTCAGTTCAAGCGCCTCAGTTGAGCAATCTTCAAGGATTTGTGTTTTGCGTAATAAATTTTGTCATGGATGAGCTCCCCAGTTGTGCGCAAATATGCTCATTCAGTTTGTGCCATCGAATGAGAGCGACACCGGGGACTCGGAGTAGAACCCAAAAGCAACGGTTTGATCCAACAACAGTTTGAAGTCCATTCAACGCGTGGACTTCAAAAGCTCCTGAAGTGTCGATCACGTCAGCGCAAAAACAAAAATCACACCCAAAAGCAACTCCAACATGGGCAGACAAGCCAAAAAGCTAAACCGCCGACCTGCACGGGTTTCGATTCGTAAGGTGGGCCTAAAGCCGGAGTTGAGTCTCTGTGAGTTGGGGGTACTTTGGGGGTTGCCTTTGAGGCAGGCCCAGTCCCATGGGCGCGAAACCCGGGCCAGTCCCATGCTCAAGCAATCTCCGGCTCCCTTCATATAACCCCTTGGTCTCCTCCCTGAGCCGCGGCCTAAACACGGGGCCCCTGGAGGTTTTTCTTTGGCTGTATCAACTCAAGGAAACCACAGCCACCCGCTACCCCTCACCCACGGATCCGTCGGCAAAAAACCCACCCCTGAGAGCGCCTTCTTTCCTCAACAAACTCACAGTTTGAGCCCAACCCTCTTCGCAAAACAACAGGGTTTCACTTTTTGACTACCCCACAGCTTCTCTGAATAAAATGCACCACTGGGTTTACCTCAACAAAATCAAACTTCAAAAACAACCAAACCAAAAAGGACCTCTTCCCCCCACCCCAAAAAAAAAACCTCCAAACCCTCCCCCGGCTTTCTTTGCGCAAACGCGCCACTTCAGCGCCACTTCAGCGCCAGGCCCGCCCCCGCCAGAAGCTCCCGACGGCGCCTCTCAGCGATCCGAGCCCCCGGGCCGGTCCACGGCCTCGAAGTACTCGCACCGCGCGGTCGCGGCCACATCCAGCATCTTCTCCTCGCGAGAAGCGGCGCGGAGTTTTTTTCGCCCCGAAGATCCAAGGTCGTCTTTCGCGTCCAAGGCGCGAGAAACGCGTGGCTTTGGGAGGGGTCAAGGGTCCTTGGCCCATAGGCGGCCTTTGGGAGAAAAGTCGAGGGTTTTTTTCCCCCCTGGGACATGGAGGGCATAAACCCCATCTCAACCAGGAATCGCCCTCTAGTCTTGTTAAGCAGCAGACCAACCAAAAAGGAGACCTATGATTTGGCACGCCGAACTTCGTCGATCGGTCCGCTGTCCTTTGGTACCCACAGGCACCCAATGTGCGCCCCAACCAATCAGCCCCACGTGGCTTTTCTTCGGGCCGTTTTTTGTGTAAGGAATGCCACCAAAAGAAACGAAGCCAACGAGTGCGAGTTAAAAAGCTGAGCTTGGTGTTCCAAAAGTCAAGGCAAGTAGATTCTAAAAATTGCAAAAACTGATTGAAAGAACCGGTCCATCGTTTCCTTTTGTGGGAAGCCAAAAGGAGGCTAGTCGAAGAAGAGTGGTTCAAGCATCTTCAAACGAGGGGTTGGCCCAACCCCGAGCAGAACCATTGTACTTGGGATGTCTGACGTTACACCTCCGGGGTAAAGCAAGCTCATGGAAGATCAAAGTCCCTCACTTCTGCGGAATCATCACGGAAGTCTACCGGAGGGTTTGAGAAGCCTGCCATGCTCTCTTGGAAAGCCCAAGAAGCTGTCAACCTCCATTTCTCGGGTGGAAAATTGATAGGCGGGAATTGGAAGTGACCACTACTCCCCCCCCCCCCACAGAGAACGGGTTCCAATGCCATTGAAAGAACCCAGCCAAAATCTGTGGCTTTTTGGCTTCCCAAACCGACTCCCTCAGGCGAAGTGATTCGCTCATTGGGTTGCAGCGGCCAGAAAAAAAGCAAGCCTGCTTGAGGCTCGAGCCCTTTTCGGGTTGAAGGAAACCACTCCGTTTTGGGTTCCCATAGGTGTGTGTGTGTGTGTGTGTGTGTGTGTGTGTGTGTGTGTGTGTGTGTGTGTGTGTGTGTGTGTGTGTGTGTGTGTGTGTGTGTGTGTGTGTGTGTGTGTGTGTGTGTGTGTGTGTGTGTGTGTGTGTGTGTGTGTGTGTGTGTGTGTGTGTGTGTGTGTGTGTGTGTGTGTGTGTGTGTGTGTGTGTGTGTGTGTGTGTGTGTGTGTGTGTGTGTGTGTGTGTGTGTGTGTGTGTGTGTGTGTGTGTGTGTGTGTGTGTGTGTGTGTGTGTGTGTGTGTGTGTGTGTGTGTGTGTGTGTGTGTGTGTGTGTGTGTGTGTGTGTGTGTGTGTGTGTGTGTGTGTGTGTGTGTGTGTGTGTGTGTGTGTGTGTGTGTGTGTGTGTGTGTGTGTGTGTGTGTGTGTGTGTGTGTGTGTGTGTGTGTGTGTGTGTGTGTGTGTGTGTGTGTGTGTGTGTGTGTGTGTGTGTGTGTGTGTGTGTGTGTGTGTGTGTGTGTCTGTGTGTGTGTGTGTGTGTGTGTGTGTGTGTGTGTGTGTGTGTGTGTGTGTGTGTGTGTGTGTGTGTGTGTGTGTGTGTGTGTTGTGTGTGTGTGTGTGTGTTTGTGTGTGTGTGTGTGTGTGTGTGTGTGTGTGTGTGTGTGTGTGTGTGTGTGTGTTTGTGTGTGTGTTTTGTGTGTTTGTGTGTGTGTTTTGTGTGTTTTTTGTGTGTTTGTGTGTGTGTTTGTGTGTGTGTTTGTGTGTGTGTGTTTGTGTGTGTGTTTGTGTGTGTGTGTGTTTGTGTGTGTGTGTTTGTGTGTGTGTGTTTGTGTGTGTGTGTGTTTGTGTGTTTGTGTGTTTGTGTGTTTGTGTGTTTGTGTGTTTGTGTGTTTGTGTGTTTGTGTGTGGTTGTGTGTGTTTGTGTGTGTTTGTGTGTGTTTGTGTGTGTTTGTGTGTGTTTGTGTGTGTTTGTGTGTGTGTTTGTGTGTGTTTGTGTGTGTTTGTGTGTGTTTGTGTGTGTTTGTGTGTGTTTGTGTGTGTTTGTATGTGTTTGTGTGTGTGTTTGTGTGTGTTTGTGTGTGTTTGTGTGTGTTTGTGTGTGTTTGTGTGTGTTTGTGTGTGTTTGTGTGTGTTTGTTGTGTTTGTGTGTGTTTGTGTGTGTTTGTGTGTGTTTGTGTGTGTTTGTGTGTGTGTGTGTTTGTGTGTGTTTGTGTGTGTGTTTGTGTGTGTTTGTGTGTGTTTGTGTG